ATTTGGCCAGTAACATGCTGGGATGAAGGGCTGCCAGGATTTTTCAATTAAATGACCTTGACTTATATTCAAGGTCACAGGGGTCAAATATGTTAAAAACATTTAAACAACTTCTGAATAACCGAGAGGCCTAGGGTGATGATATTTGGCCAGTAACATGCTGGGATGAAGGGCTACCAAGTTTGTTCAAATAAATTACCTTGACTTATATCCAAGGTCACAGGGGTCAAATATGTTTTAAACATTTAAACAACTTCTTCTGAATAACCAATAGGCCTAGGGTGATGATATCTGGCTAGTAGCATGTTGGGGGATAAGGCCTATAAAGTTTGTTCAAATGAATGACCTTCATCTTTTTCAAGGTCACATGGTCAAATATGTTCTTAACCTTTAAACAACTTCTTCTTAATAACCAAGAGGCCTAGGATAATGCCAGTAACATGCTGAGATGAAGGACTACCAAGTTCAAATGAATGACCTTGACATATATATTTTAAGGTCACAGGGGTCAAATATGTTTAAAACCATTGAATGACTTCTTCTTAATAAGCAAAAGGCCAAGGGTGGTGATATTTGGCCATTAACATGCTGGGATGAAGGACTACCAAGTGAATGCCCTTCGCCCATATTCAAGGTCACAGTGGTCAATATATGTTTAAATCTTAAAATGATTTGTTCTGTATAACCAAAAGTTTCAGGGTAATGATATTTTTCCAGAAGCATGCTTGGTTGGAAGACTATAAACTATGTTCAACCTAATATCATAATGTCCTTGTTCGACATTCAAGGTCACAGGTGTCATATGTTTAAATCTTTAAATAGGTTCTTATGAATCAAACACTGATATTCTGCCTATAGCTGTATTTTAGTCCATTTTTAAGATTACAAGTGTGAGATTCATACCAGGTGAGCGATGCAGGCCCATTGGGCTTCTTGTTATTTAATTTATTTGCATTTTACAATTACTTGGATCTAGATGTGAGTTGTTTCAAGAACTTCAAAGAATTGGATTATTTTTTGCAAAAATGTAAAATTTTCACAATTCCAATTTAGATCTTAAACAAATATGAAATTCAATTAAAATAATAATGTCAAGAACTGTCGGACTGATATATAGTATTGTTACCTTAATAAAGACGTTCAATATCAGCAAACCACTGAAGTTTCATTAATTCAATCGAAGAATTAAATTTCAAAGTGGCAATTTTTCCATACTGAGCTAGTACAAACATCTCAAACAGTCTGTTCTGTCAATATGAAAGTATTTCAAAGTAATGCAGGCATTCCTTCAGTTGTTTTTTTTATCAATGAGTCACATGTGTCCATTTCTCTGTACTTCAGGAAACCGGCTACCTATTTCACTACTGTGAAGTTTTTCAAGAAAGAATAACTCTTGCATGCAATTACTATGTGAATATGGTTTTATTATAAAATGTCAATTTTTAATTGTATTTATTAAATTGATATACATTAATGCAATTCTAATTTATGGCAGATACATTAATGCAATTCTAATCTATGGCAGTATCATTTTTAATGACATTATTTTGCAAATAATTGTGTCTTTCAATCTTTTTCAAAATTCACTCCTTTTTACATACATTTCCATTTAAAATCATTAAAATTCTGACAACCTATATTTTTTTGTGTCAGAACATTTTCTTTACTTCAAAGCAATATAACTACAAAATTTGAAGAAATTCCACTGAGAAATGGGGACACAATTCTATTACCTTAAACTACAGTGTTGAATAAATGTACAGTATCTGTAGTGGTGTAGGAATTTGTTCCCACGGTTTTGACTATTCACAGCTCCTTTAGCCTTTAGCACATTTTTAGCTCACTGTAGGGCTTATGCATGGCGCAGTGTCCTACAACTTTTTCCTTAAAACTTTTAAAAGTAATGGGATTTTTACCAAATTCGTTCCTGAGCATCTTTGAACAAAGGGGCCTACATTTTGTATAAACGGAGGGTGTGGCCCCCTGGGGGCAGAGGAGCAGGGCCAAATAGTGGAAGTAGAGGAAAATCTTTCTACTTTTGTATCAATAAAGGGATTTAAAGCAAATTTGGTCTGAAGCATGCTTTGGGAAAAATCACTCAATTTTTTATAAACTGAGGCTGTTGCCTCCTTTTTGACCAGAAGGGTGGGGCCCCAATATGGGAAATAGAGGGGGGACATTCCTTCTCCTTTTGTACCAATATAGGAATTTTAACCAAACTTGTCAAATTTGTATTATATGATTTTGTATAATTGGATTATATGCCCTCTGTCTGACAGAATGCCTGATGTACCAATAAGTGAGATCAAGTTTGTTCAAATGAATAACTTTGATCTACTTCTCAGTCAGCTTTCCCAATTATTATTTTGTGAAGAAAAATTGTAACGTGTTTTTCTGTAGTTCCTCAGATCTTGAAGTTTGATTAATTATATCCAGGTAAAGAGTGATATTAAATACAATCCACTTTATAGGTCGCAGATTTGTTTGCAAACAGCACTGAAAAGTAGTTGATTTGTATAGGAATATTTCATAACCTGTAGTCTAGACATTTTTTTCTTATAATCCTGTGAATGTCTCACAATCTGTAGTCTAGACATTTTACTTATAACCCTTTGAATGTCACACAATCTGTAGTCTAGACATTTAACTTATAATCCGGTGAATGTCACACAATCTGTAATCTGTAGTCTAGATATTATACTTATAATCCGGTGAATGTCTCGCTTTGTTTGTTTGTTTGTTTGATTTTGTTTAACGTCCTATTAACAGCTAAGGTCATTTAAGGACGGCCTCCCCTGTGTGAAAGATGCATGCGTGTGGTGAGTGTATGCGTGTGTATTTTGGGAGGCTGCGATATGTTCGCAATCTTAGTCAAGACATTTTACGCATTATCCTGTGAATGTCGCACAATCTGTAGACTAGTCAAGAACTCATCTTACTTATAACCCTGTGAATGTCACACAATCTGTAGTCTAGACGTTTAACATATAATCCTGTGAATGTTACACAATCTGTAGTCTAGATATTTTACTTATAATCCTGTGAATGTCGCACAATCTGTAGTGTAGGATATTTAACATATAATCCTGTGAATGTCTAACAATCTGTAGTCTAGACATTTTACTTATAACCCTTTGAATGTCACACAATCTGTAGTCTAGACATTTAACTTATAATCTGGTGAATGTCACACAATCTGTAGTCTAGATATTATACTTATAATCCTGTGAATGTCTCGCAATCTTAGTCAAGACATTTTACTTATATCCTGTGAATGTCGCACAATCTGTAGACTAGTCAACTAGTCATCTTACTTATAACCCTGTGAATGTCACACAATCTGTAGTCTAGACCTTTAATATATAATCCTGTGAATGTTACACAATCTGTAGTCTAGATATTTTATTTATAATCCTGTGAATGTCGCACAATCTGTAGTCTAGGATATTTAACATATAATCCTGTGAATGTCACACAATCTGTAGTCTAGATATTTTACTTAAAATCCTGTGAATGTCTCACAATCTGTAGTCTAGACATTTTACTTATAACCCTTTGAATGTCACACAATCTGTAGTCTAGACATTTAACTTATAATCCGGTGAATGTCACACAATCTGGCATCTGTAGTCTAGATATTATACTTATAATCCGGTGAATGTCTCGCTTTGTTTGTTTGTTTGTTTGATTTTGTTTAACGTCCTATTAACAGCTAAGGTCATTTAAGGACGGCCTCCCCTGTGTGAAAGATGCATGCGTGTAGTGAGTGTATGCGTGTATTTTGGGAGGCTGCGATATGTTCGCAATCTTAGTCAAGACATTTTACTTATTATCCTGTGAATGTCGCACAATCTGTAGTCTAGACATTTAACATATAATCCTGTGAATGTCTAACAATCTGTAGTCTAGACATTTTACTTATAACCCTTTGAATGTCACACAATCTGTAGTCTAGACAATTAACATATAATCCTGTAAATGTCACACAATCTGTAGTCTAGATATTTTACTTATAATCCTGTGAATGTCATTCAATCTGTAGTCTAGACATTTTACTTATAATCCTGTGAATGTCGCACAATCTGTAGTCTAAGATATTTTACTTATATTTATTATCCTGTGAATGTCACACAATATATAATTGATTGGTAATCATGATAAGTTTCCTTTGTCCCTGATTTTCATGTTATTGTCATGTTTACTAGATATACTAGTTGGTTGGTTACATGTGTTACATATTGCTGTACTGTAGTAGTTTGACTGTAATAACATCCCCACATTCAACATCCATTGACCAAAATGCTGCCCACAGGACATCCTCCCTGTCTATACCTACAGTCAATGTATAGACTGTGTCTGTGTGTATGACACTGATGAACTCACCACCTCCACTGATGAGTAGGACCCTGTAGTTGTAACAGTCCCCTGTGATCAGGTTCCCCACACTATCATACACCACAGCACTGGGGTTGAACGGTTTAACTCCTGTTTGTGGTGTTGGTTTATATGTACTGTGGATGTAATCTTTATATACAAACAGTAACTTGAAATCAGTGTCCATCACAACAACATGTCCCTTTCCATCACCACCATCTATTTCAGTACTGAAATCAGCGACTGCCACATTGTGAGTGACAGGACACTCTGAGATTCTGTGTGGTGTACACACTAATGGTTTCCCAGTCCCTTTATTCATTGTAGTACACACCATTTTACCATATGTCGTAAATTTGGAGATGTGTTTGGTCATCCCTACAATGACATGGTTACTGGCTGTAACACATATACACCTGGGATCCTTCTTAGTACTGAATCTGTGAGTCAGTCGTCCTGATACCAGCTCCATGATCATGTTTTTATCATCACATACCCACAGTGTGTGTGTTGTGGGTGACAGACTGATGTCATACATAGAGACATTGTGTTTGATGTTCTGAATTACTTTACCCTTCCTGTCCAGGAGAGTTAATTGTATATAGTTCCTGGTCCACACCTTACCATTAGTGGTGGGACATAGAATCATTGTCACATGGAGACTTCCACTCCTCCACTACATTGGTCTGTGGTAGTAGTTTGTTTGCTGTCACTGCTTTCTTCACTTTTGTTCCTGGCTGTTGTTTTTGTTTAGAGGGTTGTCCCATATCATGAGATGTTGAGACTTTTCCCAAAGCTTTTTTCAAGTAATCTTGAGGACATTTTTTTGGAGTGAAGTTGGCAGTACCTAGGACAGGTTTTACAGGGAGACTGTGAGTAGGAGAAAGGATCTCACAAAATGCATCATAAATCTGTATGTGTGAACCACGCTGGAAAGCTGCTTTGAATTCTTGAATTTGTTGTTTGAGTTGCTTCTCGTACATCTCCAGGTCCTGTTTGTATTTCTTAATTAGATTTGTGTTTTCTTCTTTCATTTTGTTGTAAAGAGAGAGTGTCTGTGATGTAAGCATGTCCAGCTCTTGTTTTAATTTATCTGTTTGTGATTTTAACTGTTGTGACAACTTGTCAAAAGTACTGGTGTTGTCTTTAAGGAGCGTATCAGTAGCGGTGATATATTTCCCAATTTGCACAAGGTTATTTTTTTTTGTTCTGTCCATAAAGTTTTTAATGTCTGGTTCTTTCTGAGGAGAGATTTCACTTAGCTCACAAACGAAATGGCCTTTATGGATAGAAGAAGGGCATTTTGGACAAGCCAGTTCTTGACATTTTTCACAATATAAATCTAGTTTTCTGCCCTTGTGGTGAAAACATGTCGTTTGACCTTTAATTCGGATAGGAATTTGGCTTGTAGGGGTTGCCATTTTTTATGAAAAGCTAAATTATTTGTTGATATTTAAAAAATATTTATTCTTGTATAAAGATATTGTTATCAGTAAACACTCGCAATAAGATTTGGTTATGTCAAGAAGTGAACATTTAGTAATGTAAAAACACTAAAGAAAAACTACCTCACGATCACTGATGTCACAGGGTTACTGTGATGATGAATCCAGGTTTACCTTTCCACACTTCAGAAGGTTCACATACGTTGTCCATATTTATCCAGCCTTGGAATTCACAATCACATGATGAACTTCCTTCTACCTTTGCTGATAAATCTATCACTTTCCTGCTGACATTGTAAAAGTTTTTATCAAAACTTGGAAGTCATATTTCTGTCTGAAATTTGACAATGCTTCTAACTGGTTAGTAATATCAACACGTTTCTGCTCTGTGTACACAAATCCATGGCAATGCGTAGATCTACCTGTTTAGACCTGCAGGTGTGAAGACCAAATTTCTTCCCTGTTGAGCAAGGTTACCGACAGACATACACTGATAATACAGCAATAGACGGTGTAGTAGGTCAGTGTAGGTTGAGTTTAAAAACCCTAGCATGTACATACCTTGTGTGTATTGCGTAAAATCTATGTATAATCAATAATGTGATATCTGTTCCTTGGGAAGATATACCTGTAAACTGGGTAATAAGACAACCTGTACTGTGGATATATATACCTATGTACTGGGTAAAAAGACATACCTGTACTGTGGGTAGATACACCTATGTATTAGATAATAAAGTAATAAAGTATACCTTGACTGCTGGTAGATATTATAAGACTTTTTCATGTCTAGGGGCGTAGGATAGGGAAATTTCACCAGAGCGGTTTTCAAATTTGGTAAAACCCGCGGCATCAGTTCCGCGCTATTACAAGAAGACAAACACGAACATATCGCAGCCTCCCAAAATACACACACATACACTACACCATGCATCTTGCACACAGGGGAGGCCGTCCTTAAATGACCTTAGCTGTTAATAGGACGTTAAACAAAATCAAACAAACAAACAAACAAAAAACCCGAGGCAAAATTTGAAAACATTGAGGTGGGATTTTCCTATCCTACACTTTTGGGCATGAAAGAGTATTTTTCTGTCATTCCAACTACCAAAAAAGGCTCAGAAATCATGTAAATGCGTTTGGACTGGCTACCATTTTGTAAAATTTTAATTTTTCTGTGAGCTTTGTAGACGAAAACGAATATATCAGCCAGATTAAGCATACCCCATATTTGCAAACAGATTGAATAAAATCTCGCCTTTTCCGCATTAAGGCATTAAAGAGTTCCAAATTCGTGACGTCACGTCATTGTTGAGCCATTGTGATGTCACGTCAAGTGAAATGGGGTGTAAGATAGAAATTTCCGACACTCATTTCCTACCCTGGACAGCTCTATCTTACACACAGGGAAGGGAGAGAAACCTGTGTATTCGTAATAATACATACATGTATTGTAGGTAGATATACCTGTGTATTTTGTAATAAGACAAGACAAAAACTGTACTGTAGGTATGTATTTTCCACACCATCATCTGCTGGTCGGCAATTCAAATCGCCCTGCGTAGGTCGTCCGTCCGTTCGTCGTCCGTCCTTGAACAATTCTTGTTATCGCTATTTCTCAGGAAGTACCAGAGGGATCTTTCTCAATTTTATATGTAGGTTAACCTTGGTCTTTAGTTGTGCAGGGCAACTTTTGAGACTGATCGGATAAACAACATGGCCGCCATCTTGGATTTTGACAGTGAAGGTTTGTTATAGCTATAACTCAGGAAGTACTGGAGAGATCTTTCTTAACGTTTTTATGTAGGTTGCCCTTGGTATGAAGTTATGCATATTTTTTTTATAAGACTGATCGGATAAACAAATCTTTGATTTTGACAGTTAATGTTTGTAAGTGCTATTTCCCTGGAAGTACTAGTGGGTTCTTTCTCAAATTCTATATGGAGGTTCCCCACTATTCTTTATTGTTCAGGTTTACTTTTGAAACTAATCAGATAAACAAAATGGCCGACCGACAGACATCTTCATTCTTTTACACTGAAGGTTTGTTAGTACTATTTCTCAGGAATAACTTGAGGGATCTTTCTCCAATTAGATATTTAGGTTCCCCTTGATCCCTCGTTGTGCATGTTATATTTTGAGAATGATCATGAACAAAATGGCTAACGAAAGATCTAAATAGATCTTTCTCATATTACAATGATCGATTATATTTCTTTCACATTAAGTACTGTACTAATAAATATGTGAAATGACAAACTCACTTTTAAGGTTGTCTTTTATACACAGCAGTATTAAGTTTAGATCAAAAGTTACCTCAAGGTGCATTTACTGTTAACATGGCTCGATTAAACAGATTATAGAGAAAAGATCGAACTGTCAAAGAACTAATGAAGATGATACAATGGTGGGCAAAAAGATCCCTCTGTGATCTCTTGTTAAATATTAAGCTCACCTGGTCCAAAGGACCAAGGTGAGCTATGGCCAAATAATTAAGATACCCACCCTAGAACAATATGTACATTAATGATTATAAAAACACACACACACATATTCTACTGGAATGGCTACCTTGGTCATTACTTTAAGTGGTTGAGATCTCCACCCAATAACCATATATACAATTGCTAAGCACAAAGCAACAAATACAATCATGATATTAGAACAGACCCCAGGGTTTGGCCACACCCTAAGGACTTGTTCTTTGGTCATATCTTTGACACTGTTGTGATCCAAGCTGTAGCCATATATAAAAGTGCTGGACATAAACAGACAAAACAGTCATTCTATTAGAATTGACCCTTGGGTCTGGCCACAACCTTACGGAATGTTTGGGACTTACCTTTTCCTTAAGACTTTTTGGTCATACTGCATTCATTAAGGATCTTTTGCTATGATCGCTTAAATATCCAGGTGAGCAATACAGGCCCTCTGGGCTTCTTGTTTGTTTAAATGATAATGCTGTCACAAAGCATTGCAAACAAATTTTAAGAAATTTTTGATTTGAGTTTATTTACATTAATACTTAAAAATTTCTGGATATTTACAATAGATTATTGTTCAGTAAATATGGTTATGCTTATATATGTGTACATCAGGACTGTAGATAATTGTTTTTTACCATTGTAGTACATAGAACAGAAAATATTGACATATTGGACCCTAATGAGGACTTTCTGGGAACACTTGAAGGTCTTCATGACTTTCGAATGTTATATATATAGCAGACATTCACAGATCTTCTACTGTTATAGTTTGTTAATGTTCCAGAAAAACCAACGTTTTTTTTTATCAAATTTCACACGTTGGTCATGCACTTTTCCTGTTTGTTTTTGGAATAAAGGTAGGTTGGAAGATGTATTTAATTCATTTCCCTTTATTTTTTCAGTGTAGGAGTTGGTCCCGACGCCAAGTGCATGAATATCTTAGACTATTCAAGTGAAAACAACTTGATTATAAATGAAGGTTGGTACATGTATGTTTTTGACGAAGTTGGTAAACTTGTCTATCTTTATTGACAAAATAACTAGCGGTTATACAGTAAAATATTATCCCATCCCAGGACTACAGGTTTATAGTTTAAGGGCACCACCGGTGATGAATGTGTAACTAAATGGACTGAATTGATCGTAGGCTTCCAGGTAGCTCAATAGGTAGAGTGTCGGTCTGAGTTCGGAGAGGCCCTGGTTTGACTCCCTGTTTGGCAGTTGCATTTCTCTTTATCCTGTGACACTTGCAGTTTTAAATAATTCTTCTGTTGTGTTGCCTTAACTTTTAAATTCTTGCTTCCTTTCTTGTAGGGAACATAATTCTACAATTTAGATTGATTTTTGTTTGTCTGCAGAACAAAGATTTAGAATTTCCTCTGTGATATTTTAGCCATCATCATCAGATTGTGTGCTGTGCAACTCGCCTGTTGTCCGTCTTTAGACAATTCTTGTTATTACCATTTCCCAGAAAATACTCTAGGGGTCTTCCTTAAATTTGATATGTAGGTTCGCCTTGGTCTCTAGTGTTGCATGTTGCATTTTGAGACAGCTTGAATAAAAAAAAAACCATGCTGACAGACACTTGGATTTGACAGTTAATGTTTGTTTTGGCTATTTCTCAGGAAATACTGAAAAGATCTTGCTCAATTTGTTCCATAGGTTGAACCTTGGTCCTTCATTGTGCATGTTTACTATCGAGATTTGATGGAAAAACAAAATGGTTACCTCAAGGTGTATTTCCTATTTACATGACTCAATCAGACAGAGGAGAGCAAAGCTTGAACTGACATAGAACTAAGGAAGATGGTACAATGTTGGGCGTCATGAGGGATGTTGACATAGTTGGTCCTGTCTTATTGTAATAGAAGGATTGAGATGATCAAACAATTTTGATTGCAAATATTGTTAAAATTTTCTTGTTTGTTAGTGAGAGAAATGTGTGAATTCTGTTGATGCATATAAGGAGCCTTACCAAACCTTCGCAACCAGAGAAGATTCATCTTACACAGATCTATGCGATAATGAAATAGTGACGGTATTCGTGAGAAAGGCAAACAGTCTGTATGAAAATGTAGTTTCATCCTGCAAAACCCTAACCCTAACCCTAACAAAATGTACAACACAATGGTATCAACAACATGCTTGCTGAAAGGGTTAAACGACCACCTACATAACGAAGCTCCTCGCATGAAGATACACTGTAGTTACTTTTTCTACCAGACACAATCTGACAGCTGCTGCTTTGCATGATCTCCTTCAGTTGATTGAACTACATTGTCCAACTGCAAACCACTTCAAGGGAACCATGAAGCTCATCAAGGACCACTTTGAAGATGTTAAAGAACCTGTTTGTCAACACTTTTTCTCCAACTATTGTCAGCATCTCTTTGATAGAGACAAACCTGTTTCATGTGACATCTGTGGCAAGAAAGGGTTCTCAAGCTTCCTGTCATTGCCACTGGCGAGCCAACTCACTTCAATTTTCAA